TGTGTGGAGGGCGTGTGCTTTCAGCCCACAGGGAAGGAGAGAGCATTCCCTGGGGAGCAGAGACTTTCACCCTGAGACAACGATGAGGAGCAGAGCCAGGGCCACACCTGTAGGATGCTATTGAGAAGGGAGGGAGGAAGCTCTTTGCTTCAGACAGAAGGACAGGAGTAAGTTACAACAGCAAAGACACATTGCTTCAACTGGGACAGGAAGTGCAAACAGAAAGAGCAAGGGTAATTAATCTGTCCAGCAGAGCTCTGAGAGTTTACAATAAACTCTCAAACTTTCAGATAAGCAGACATAAAAACTTGTGCAGAATTCTTTGATTCATCCTGAATTCCCTGATTCTGAAAGAAGGCAGCACTGATCCCATCCTTGGAGAGAGCCTGATAAAAATGAGCACTGCTACATGTTCTTCTGGCCAAGAGGATGGTGTGCAGCACATCAGGGCTTGGCACATGGCAAAAGGTCAGAGCTGATTCTGAGAACCCAGCAACAGTAGAGTCATCATGGACACAGGTGCTTCCTGGATTGATCTTGCAGTTTGGCTGTTTCCAGTTAAATGTGAAGCAGCTGTGGCCCTTTATCTACTCAAGCCACTGGAATCCATCTAAGGGGGGACTTTCTCCCATCTCCTCCTCTCTCCCAAGCCCAAGCATGCAGCTCTGTTTTCTGAAGACAGAGAGGACAGAGGACAGCCAGTTGGCAGAACTCCACAAAAACCCCCCAACAAAACAAACTTGCCTTTCTTATCTCAGGGCAAACCAATGAGATATTGATTCAGTCACTAATTTTCCAATGCCTGTATCTGGGGACAAGGATGACAGCCAGCAAAATAAGAAGCAAATATGAACACTGCTGAAGGCTGTCACGCAAACAGATTCAGGACACTTCCCTCAGGCAACAAAATGAACAAATTAAGCCAATGTGAGAATAAGTTCTCAAGTGTTTATGGCATTGTTCTGCATGATGAATAGAACAGGGATTCTTTTACAGAAAGGGATTGAGCTTTACAGAAGGTGTTTTCAATAGTCAGCTTGGTGGAATTCTGGAAGAGGCACAGGAAGGTCAACACTGGGCCATCAGGCAGATCAACAGGAGGAGCCAGAAGATTTCAGAAACCCAGTCAGTAAGAGTTCCCAAATAGCTCCACACCAGCTAAATGTACTTTATATAAACTTTTCTTTGCTAGTTCACTGATTCTGGAGCCATCAGACCCCTCTATGTCTTGGCTATCTCTTCCAGCCAGACAAGATCTCACTTTATTTTTCCCCACTACCTTAGGAAAGGGAGGATTTGGCTCAAATTTGTGCTTGTCACTAGACAACAGAAATGTGAGACTCTAGGTATTCAGTTTGGTTGGCTTAAAGAGCAGCCATTTCACAACCCAAGCTTAGCATTTTGGACAGAGGAAGCCAACAATCTTCTGGCTTTACCCAGTCAATATGCAACTGAAAGCATAAACAGGTTTGGTCTTTGTCCTCTTTCACACTTCCCAAGGCTTTTCTTTTTCTGATACATAGGAACAGTGCTAGTTATTTTCTACAAAAGGGATTCTCTTGTCCTTTCTAAAACCAAAATGGATAGCAGAATTTAAATATCATATCAGACTATACTCCACCTATTTATGGTAATGCTGCTGAATTATTATTGAACAAGAAAGATCAGACTACTAATCATGTCAATAATAGTAATAATCATACTGTTTTGGGAACAGAGAGATTAAAGAAAATTACCATTTTCTTTTTTGGCAAAACAGTACTGGTAGTAAGGAGGACATAGCATGAGTGTTTTCCTGAAGTTACTTTCATATAATGGGGCTTCTTACTTAACCTGAGAAAGATTGTCCTGCAAATCACTGTTAAGGAATCATTGATATTAATCCAAAATCATCCTCAAATTCAATCTGATATACTTTCAAACATTCCTATGTGCCAGCTCAAACTGTTCCTCTTCATTCTTCTGCATAAAGTCTGTCCACAACACTTTTTTTTTCAATTCCCTTTGCTAAAACATAAGCATCCAGCTGCTTCAGTTTTTTTTCTCAGCCCTTGCATTTTTTCCATGTGCTGTCCACCCCCCCAAACTCCACATTAGAATCCAGCTGATCTTCCTTGAACACGATCCAATTTTTCAATTGTCAATGCCAGAATGCAATGAAGTGGGCTTGACTCCCTTATACAACTTATTTGGAAGTAAAGCAGAAATGTCACTTTTGGGCTAGAGCACAAAGAAATACTCCTATTATTATTCTTATGTATGGCTCCATAAGAATCAAGATGAAAACACCTGCACCTCTGCAACCTCTGTAATCTGCAAAACAATTTCTGCTTTGCAAGCAGCTCAAAATTTGTTGAGCCTCTATTTGTTTATTCGATGTATATATTTTGTTACTACAGTCACTATAGCAAAATTGTTCCTCTTCTGGGCCTTTCAATTGTTTTTATTAAATCTTTTAAAAAGGAAAGAGAAGAGTAAAAAAAAGACGGCTAGACAAAAATGCAAGGTTCCTCAAGACTCTCAATTACAGCAACATGACAATATAACATAAACACAAACAACACAATAACTATTAAGTTGTCGTGCTATTGCGATGCTGTACTCTGTTTGGCTAGACTGCCTTTTGGAGCTCACCCAGAAATCATAAAATACAAGCTATTCCATAAAAAAAAGAGACAAAATGGTTTGCAGCAGCCTCCTCATTTCTGAGGGGGAGCCCCAAGCACTTCTGATAGCTACAGTCCCAGTTACAGAAAAATGACAATACAGTCCCTGATGTGCAGTTTTCAAAGTCTTTTTTTCTTCTAAAGGCAGAAAGCTGTTCCTTGTGAATATATTTAAATGCTCTTTATTCACAATTTCTATCGTTTTCTGCTGCTTCTGCACCTTGAGTAATTCAGTCTAGTGGCAACTCTGGACTTTTTTGCCATGCAATTTATTTTTCTTTCTTTATTCTCGTCTAGAACTGGCAGATCTACCTTATCATCAGACCACAGGAAAACTCACAGAGCATCTAATCCTTATGGGGGGGGCAACCATGTGTTCTCTCTTGACTCCACCCAGTATTCCTGCACAACCATTTACACTTTAATGAAGTTTTGTATGTTCAGTGTTCAGAGCAGACCCTGCTGGAATAAAGGTTCTAGTCCAGGCAAACCTGCCCAACATGAAAGTTACAGAACAGAACAAAAGTTACGCAGTGTGGGACCATTCAGCTGAGGACACACACATTGATCTAGGCAGAGTCCAAACCCTCTTGCTTTCACAGGCATTTCCCCCAGGAATTGAGAATTTTAGGGAAGACATCATGAACAGGAGACACTGCCGCCAAGGTAGGGGAATGTGCACACAGAGGTGCCCCACTCTGCAAATAAGTCAACATTAAGCACTGGCTTTGAGTCAAGTTTCCTGCCCCATCCTTTATTTCAAGTCTGTGATGATGTGTACAGACATAGCCTAACACCAGAGAGCAGAGACTATTCTTGGACTTCTCTCACACTACTGCATCTTTAGTTCTTCTCAAAGGCTTGCAGCAGCCAATAAATTAATAGTTTCACAATTTCCAGTTGAAACACTTTTCATGGGAAGATGATACTTTGAACTAAATGAAAATTGCTGAAGAAAGTGTCTGCTTCCCTGAGTGGAAAATTTCTTTGTCAGAAGCCTAGGAATGGTACACCTTGGCTGTTCTGCTATAGTTTGCTTGGTTTTTCTGTTTTGCCTTTTTTTTTTTTTTTGTTGGTTTTAGTAAAAAAATTTCCAGCTCCAGACTGCTATAGTGTTTACTGCTCTTCCCTGCACCATGTTGACTTTTCTACCCCTGCCAAAGTGCTTCTTAAATCTCTTCTGAATATATGCTCTTACTGGTGGTGTTTAACAGCCTTTTCTTCCTCTTTCCCCCATTGTTATTTAAGACGATGCTTTTATGGCTCAACAGACTCCAAGAAGCATTTTGGATAAATGCTCTGTCAAAGAACACTTATGTACAGTTGAGCCATATTATATTCTATATGAATCACTGCGGATGTTTCCCAAACAAGGTTAGATCAGCCAGATTTTCCAACTAGATTACACACAGCTTTTTCAGACATGGTCTACTACCTCTGCCATTAATCCTCCTCACTGAGACTCACCTCAGTTTTGGACCATGGTCATGCCTGCCCACCAGGGACAGGAGCATGCTGCTAACACTTTCTCCTAATGAGGATAACAATCCTATGACAGAGTAGCCTTGGCCAAATTTTATCTGCAGAATGTAGGGGAAAGGCTGATTTTGCAAAGCTAGATGGTCTCTCACCAGCCCTCACGGTTTTGTTGTCTGTGATTTCTTCAGACAGAGACCTCATTTAAATGGCCAGGAAAAAGAAAATCTGCAGGATGAAGGAAGTCTGTTTCACCAGCTAAGGACAATTCTGTGCCATGTTTTATTTTACACTAATGAAGATTGCCAAGAGCCTATTGATCAGTCCTTCTTCCCTGCTTTACCTGACCAGATATATGGAGATGCTCAGGGAATACTGAATTGCTCTCTACCTGCCCAACACATTTTCAATGATGCCTCTGCTACATTAAATGTGGTCCTTCAGGAAAAAACTGAAATTCCACCTGAAGAACAGCAGCCTGACACAGAGGTCTGCAATGGAGAAGCAACGAAAACCCCACAGAGAGCGAAAGGAAAAACAGCTCTGAGGGAAAATGAGCTGAATGAAATGTTTCTTTAAAGAAACCATGGCACTTCTGAGCTGGTATAATGAAGCAGCTGTGATATAAATAATGTCCCCAAGTGGAAAAAACCCACAAAAACACCAGCCATTCAGGCTCCATATGTTTCCAAACTCACACAATGGATGCTTTACAATGCACTTTTTGTCTGGAAATTGGGAGGGAAAGGGAGGTTCCTCACCCACCTCCTATACTAATGCAATAATCTTGCTTAGTCACAGAAAAAGGGAGAGAAAAAAGGAGAGAAAGTGATTAATATACTGTGGGCAGCTGCTTACTTTCCAATTGGTTGTCCAGGAGGGGTGTGCTCCACTTCAAATCCTGCTTGTCTCAGTACATCAATCACAGTGTTGTTACCCAGGAAGTGACCTAAAATACAGGTAGAAAATAGCACTGTCAATCAAACTACTACTATCACTCACTTGAGTTTCTCCTGTTGGAACAGCAGCTTTGGGAATCAAGGGTACCAAAAACTAGACCAGAGGGACAGCATACAGCCCAAACACTTTCTTTTCCCATCTCATTTATCCCTCCCTCCCCTCACATGGCCAAGGGACTGGGTGTATAATAGGAACCTAGATGGATTGCTAGTCTTGCCTTGCACTGTGACCATTTTTAGGATGCACACTGATTAAATAATTTTCCAACATGGAGATCAGAATGACCCTGCAGTGGCAAAAGGATATTTTGAGGGCTTTGATGTTTGAAATGGAACAACTTACAACCCTGACCATCACTGCTCATGAACATCTGCTAATGAAGAGACTCAAGCTGCTGTAATGCATGTTCAGCACTTGTCTGACTGAAACCACAGTGATTCAGGAACATCAGCCATTCAGCCACCTGCACAGTGGGGCTGGGAGGAGCTGGGATGGTAACCTTATCTCTCCCAAAACATGAAGATTTAGTCCTGTAATTCAGGGCTCTTTGTTAGAAGTGTAAAGGTCACATTCCTATTCACAGAAGTAACAAGGAGCTCAGTAAGTATTGCAGTGTGTACAGGCCGTGAAAGAGTTTACTTAAGGGGGTGCCATATACTTGAAATCTGAACCAAATCCCACCGGAGTCAATGGGAGCCCTCAGAGGGCTTTGGGCACAGACTCAATAAGAGAGTGTAATCCAGCCAAAGCTTTCAACTTATTGTCAGAGTCCCACACTGTTTGCAGGATGGGTTGGATATATAAAGTAAGGGAGCAAAAAGTCCACAAACAGATTTATTAAAATCCACATGGCACTGCAATCTGTCTCCAACTACAGCCATGAGTGACATGGAGGAAGAACAGAACAATTCTCCTCCATTATATCCATTAACTCCCAGCTCTGCAGGGCCGGGTGACCCCCATTTACAGCCAGGTCATTGCACCTCACTGCCAGCTCTGAACAGATCAATTCACCAGGAATGTGCCCAAGCCTCCACGTGCCTGTGGCATCCTGGAGAAGGGAGTTCCACTATGCTGTGGGGTGTAAGAACTCACTCTGGTTTGCTGCTGCTGCTTGGAGAGCATGTGCTTGCCTGAAGCACAGTGAAAGTGTTTGCAGGAGATGTTTTTGACTGCCTGGCTCCACAGCAGAACCAAATGGTTAGCACTGAAAAAACCAAGGCAGGCAAGAGGTGCCTGAGCCCCGCTCCGAGGACACTGCCATGCAAGGAGCTGGTGCAGCCACCAGCAGAGTCACCCCTGTGATTCTTCACCCATCCTGCACGAAGTCCTGATGAATTTGAGAGCATTCATCCCCCAGGATCTGCTCAGCCTGCTTCCCTCTGCTCCCTCTGCCAACAAGGACGCTAACTCGCCTCAGTTGTTGGAACGATGTAGCTGTATGGCTTTGAGTGCAACTTGCAAGCGCTGGTAAGAGCTTTTAGCCAAAAGACATTTCTTTAAATGATTAAACGTACATTTGCAGAGCCCTAGTGTGTTCCAGGATTCCTCTACTTCCTTTTAAGAAAACTCAAAATTTGATTTTCCCCTTTCTAACTCACTTATAACAAAAGCCAAAGCAGCAAAGAACAGTCCCAAAAATGTGTTATACACCCTCAGAGATTCAAGAAATGAGACATTTGTGAATGATTAACTGGATTTGATCATATCCTGTTTTTTTATGCAGTGGCCAAAGCAAACAAAGGTCCCCATTCTGTCACTGGCAAAGTGACATTGAGGAGCCAAAGTCAAAGGTATCAGAGTCCGAGACGTTTCCGAGTCCAGTTTATTTTCCCTGAGCCAGAATCTTAAATGCCAAAAGATTTCTTAATGTAAATAATTGTCCTGAATCCAGCAAATCTTTGACAAGATGACAGCATAAGAGAAACCAATTTTAACTCTTTTAAACTCAGGGAAAAAAAGTAACTATGCAAAAGCTCCGACTCCTCATCCACACAGTGGCAGATCTGTCAACAATGGCAGCTCTTCAGTAGAGCCTGCAAGTCCCTTCAAGTGATGGATGAAGACCAAAAGATGACACTTCCTGGACTTCCCATTCCTGCCCTCTGTGTGGATACCATGCTGAAAGCTGCCAGCTGCTGGGACTGGTGATCTAGTGATCTGCTGGGCAACAGGGATTGTTCTTCTAATTTTGCCTTTCCTAACTAGAAGGAATGCCAGCTTCCATTAAAAAACCCTCAACTTCACATTCACAAATAAATTAAAATCTTAATTACAAATATCCATGCAAACATCACAGTTATTTCATTGTACATTCACAATCCAACACATACTAAAATATTTTCAATGCTCCAGTTCAACCAAGAGAACAGAAATAAAAAGAAATAAAAAAATCAAAACCAAAATCCAACTTTGAGTTGGCCTTCAAATAATTCTCCATTCCACATACGTCAACAGAGCCCAAAACTTTAACAACTACTAGGAGATGGCATGAGCAAGTCTTTGCAAAACTTAATCGTTAGACTCTGCTTAAAATTTATCTGCTTGTATTATCCCATGTACATCCGGGTAAGTTATCACCCATCTCATCACCAGCTTGCCCTGTAAATGCATCCTCTCCACCTGATTGAAGATTTCTGACTTCTATTTGTCTTAACTTCTCTCTCCAGTCAGAATTCACATATCAAGGTTGTTTTTGTATCCACCTGTTCATTTTACATCATGGTAATGCTGTTGTAGCCAACTCATGCACACCACCAGCAACCTGAAATCATGTTCTCCTTTAGTGACTGAAAACATGAATTTTTGCATGCTCCGACCAGCAGTCACAGACATTTGCCAACAGTGATCCATGTTATCCCATGGCAAGGACTTCTTCAGGATTAGAGACGTGGAAGAGGAAGGTTTAAGGAAAAAGGTGGCACTGGAGAGGTCCAGTGTAGGTAGGTAACATGAAACATGAAAGGTTAAAAAATCCCTGGAAGAATTTTCTTGACCTGCCTCCTGTTACGAAGTCCATCATAATTATCCTTTCCAGTTTTAAAATCCAGGAAAATCTTCTATGTGCGAAATATCTTACATAAAATAACTCTCCCTAGTCACCCAAAACTTGAGATAAGGACTCACTTGTTAAATATTAACAACAGAATACTCTGACAAGCCTATGTGATGAAAACAAAATAACCTGCATATTAGAGACAATTAGGCTCAGCATCAGTGAAAAACATCAGATTACTGCCTCTGGCTGCTCATATGTGCAAACAGAGTATGCAGTAACTGTCATATTCTTTATAAAATCAGTGGATTTAATTTTTTATAGACATGAAGTAAATGAGCTTCATATATATATGTGTGTGTGTGTGTGTGTGTGTGTGTGTGTGTATGCATGTATGCTTCTGCTTAAATATTTTAAAAATTTCTCTTCCTGGCCTGGGAAAAACCTCAAGAGTGTATAACTACTAAAAATTTAGTGCATCTAGAGATATATCAGACAGGTTAGAGAGGCAAGGGAATGATCTTGCATTTCCATCACTATTCCCTCTTCAGTCTAAACCTGAATAAACCATTCCTGCAGTATTAACCAAATTTATCTTGACAGCTGATGAAAAGTGGATCCGAGGGGTCAGAACATCAGCTGCCTTGGGAAATCCATGGAAGTGGAAAAGGAGAGAAAGCAGACATAAAAGATTTTCTACATAGGGACCTGAAGAGAAAGTCTGTACTTGGGCATGGAGATATGCAAAGCAGCCACCCCTAACAGTTTAAGATTAAAAATGCCCAGGTGTGGATGCAATTCTTCCACCCTCTGAGGATAAGGAGATACTCATGGGATTTGCTTGAGGACAAGACCCAGTGCTATACACAGTAATTTTGTAGTTTGAACACTAACACAAACACAGTGCAGTGGTCAGTATGGCTGTTGCACTTAAGAGGGGGCTTCTTACTAAATTTGATGAGGCAAGATTATTCTCCTTTCACTCACATTTTGTTTTTTCGAGACAAGGATCTGGAGACAGTGGGGGAACACATTATACAGCATGGCTGCTAACATTAATCACAGATCTTCCATTTCTGGTTTGCTTTTTTATTTTTAATTGGACTACAGAAAGCAGATCCATGTAATGTGTTTCCTTATCTCCCCACAGTTTCATTTTTCACTGGAAGAAAGAAAGAAAGAATAAACCATCAATTAGGGTTTTTTTAAACAAAAAAACATGTAAAAAATATGTGAAATACACGTGGTTTCCTTAAAGCACATCCATGCACAAACACACTGCTGAAAGAATGCACTTTCTTCCTTTCTTAGTGGAATATCCTGAGGCAGAGAGAAAGACACTTCTCAGCCAACTCTTGACAGCCATGTATTTTCTAATTGACCACATAAACTAAAGCTCTCCTTTTCCATTTCAGACATCCTAGTGACCCTCATCAATAACCTAAGCATCAGGTTGCATCCCTCAAAAGTTACATGAACTTGGGTGTTCCTACACAGAAAAATTATAACCACGTTTTGATGACAGAAGCAGAAAAAATGTTTTTAAGCAAATGTTATATACTTTATCTAGGTTTAGAGATCTACTACAAATTACTTTTTCTACTCTTTTCGCAATTCTTTGTTCCATGGCTTAGAAGGATAACGGGGTACAAAGGAGCAGGAGATAATTCCCTCACAAAGGACCTCCATTGCCAGAGCCTTTGAAGTTGTGCTAAAAAAGCCTTGCTAGCCATTAGCTGACACACAGCAGAAATCTGAACTGTTTCCATGCACACTACAAGCAGAGCTATTTTCTGCACAATTAGTCATAAAAAGGGCCAATGTAAACTGTGTCGGGAGGTCTCAATTCTTTACATTCTCCACGCAGTGAATCAGACATTATGTATAACGTTTTGTTGCCATTTAGACCTTGGGCTGCTCTGCAATCAGGAGGCGGCAGCCTCTATTCCTCCTTCTCCCTCGATGCTGATTCTCAAGCCCCTTGGCAGCACCGC